ACAAGTATACTTTGATTATGACAACTTTTCAGGCTGATTTTTTAAAGAAAAATAACATATTCATTAGCACCTGCCTCACTTGAAAGTTAGAGTGATAAGAGCCTTGGCAGAATAATAGAAAACCTGGAAACAAGAGGGAGAAGGAAAGTCTGAGAGGTTTTGAGAGGAGATCAACAAATGAGATATTCTGGGGCATTTCTTCACTGATGAGGATCTGGGATGCAAGGCTGATCCGAGGGAAGCGAATTATTTCCCCCGGGTACTCTGTCTGCTCTTTTGGTAGCTGCTACCACATAAATATTAATGTCTGTTTTGGATAGCATAGCCTCAATGACTATGCTCACTTCAGGCATGGATGATGCAGAAAAACAAGGGTATAATACATTATTAATTTCCTGATGTTCTTTATACAAAATATACTTTTAAATGAATCTACCTAAATTTATTAATTTCTACTTTGATTGATGTTCTATTATTATTAGAGCAAAGTATGAAAACAAGTCTACTTCTTAAATTCAGACTGAGAACTGTAATCACTACCTTTTTTGTTCCTTCAACAAATACTTATTGAGCACCTACTATGTACCAGGAACTAGACATAAAACCTTGTGCTTGGTAGATTATACTATGCCCATCTAGTCCATGCTTATATAACCCCACTCATAAAAGTGTATTTAGATCTAACTTCAGCAATGGCCTTTCCAGATAATCACCATCCTCATCCCTCTTGGAAGGTTTCTATCATGTCTTCTGTGCTCTTATTTTCTGTCATTACATGGTCAATTCCAATCTGCGACAGATTTAGGAGAAACAGGAGGAAAGTGGTGAGAGAATTTTCTCAAAGTAGTGCCATTTCAAGTAGATACATACATAAAGGTAGCGTGCTAATATTATGCTTGTTAAAAATATGGTGAAAAGATATAGAGGAGGCAGTGTGCAAGGAGGGATCAGCATGTGGAATAGTCAATGAAAACAAGAGTGGCAGGACCAGGAGGCAGGAATTGAATGACTTATACTTTGCTAGATGCTCTGTAATTCAGGATGTGCCAGACCTAGGCACTGAGACCTAGGTAACTGCACTTACTGATCAAAAAGTGAACTCTTATGAGATGTGTCTGCAATAATACAGGATTGTGTGGTTGAATTCTAAGAATTCCTATCTACCTCTCAGAACCAGGATTGTAGAGAGACTTCTCATTTCTCCACATATTGTAGGTTTATCTAGAAACTCTAAATCCATCCTCACCATTTTAATAATGAATTGTTTGTATTCCACTTAACATATCTCTACAGAAAGGTGTGAGGATCACTATTCAAAACAAACTTCTCTACTGAATCACAACCTTGTTTAATGTTTAAACAATTCAAGGATTCTCTTTTAGATGGAAGACAAATGTTGTTGCACCCAACCATTCTGCACTGAATATTATATTACAGCACATAGAAAGAATATTTGATTCTGTTAGTGCCCAATTTAGCAAATTAAAGATTGTATAAAATTTAAAATTAGCAAAAGAAATCAAGGGATTCTTCAACTTCCCCAAATCTTTCAGCACTCTGGAGTTGAGAAAGATTAATCAACAACAGACCAGCATTACTTCCCACAAGATAGGTAGACTTCTCTTATGTCCTATTGATCCCCGGGTGGTAGAATTTCAAACACACAAGGTTAAGAATGTATGCTTATCTCTGATAGCTTTTATTTTATCCCACATAACAATTATAGGCCATTTACCATTGCATTCCAAATATTTGTATTTTATTGCCTCTCAAGTAGACTTCAGAAAGACATATGCTAAGATGGTTCTTTTTTTTCAACTTTTCTACTAAGCCAAAGTCACTCTTCATTTGATGATTCCCACAATGCCCGTCAAAATCAATAGAAGACAAAAGGAAGGAAACTTCAAAGAAAATAGTAGAAGCACACAGAGAGAAATACACAAAAACAAGTGGTAAAGATTAGTAACACCAGCAATTCAGATATTGAATTGGTTTTGCATTGAGATCTTCTAGATACAAGATGCTTATGGCCCTGTACCCAACAAGAAAGCCTACCAGTTTTCAATGAAGCAGAACTTGATGGATGTTAGCTGAGTTTTCTGTTTCTCATATCACTTTTGATTTGCTATTTGAAGAAAGATCCCCTATATACAGTATCTGAAATGTGTGATAAATTGTAAACCTTTTCTTTTTAGAAGACTGCCAAGTTTTGAGCAAAGCTGGAGAAATCATCAGAGATCAGAACCCATAAGGCATTATAAATTTAAAAAAAAATAGTTCTAAAATAGGTATTTATCATGAAGATACCTGAAAATTCCTTGTAGTCAAGAGCCTAGGATTTGAAGATTGATGCATGAAGGGGACAAGAATCCAACCTGTAGGCTAGATTGGAGATCAAACTAAGAAAACAAGAAAACTCTCAATGGAAATTAGTGGGGATACATACTTACCTGAATTTTGGCTCCAGGTAAGGCTACTCAATAAATAAATAAACAGACAGACGGTTGAAGAAAGGAAAAAAGAAAAGGAGGAAGGGAAGAAGGAAGGAAATCATTCTCTGGGCAATGCTTACCCATATAACCATATAAATTTAGAGCCGTAATTCATAGAAATTGTATTATCAAAAAATGGTGTAAATATTAATTTTAGGTAGTCTCAAATTACCCACAAGAATGAAAATTAAACTGACATCATATAATAATGATAGAAACTGGAAAAAATATTTCAAAGCCCTGACAGAAAATAATTATCATTCTAGAATTGCCTACCAAGAAAAAATGATCATTTTTATTCAGAGTGAGGGCCAAGTCAAGATGTTTTCAAACATTAGCCACACAAAAAAAATTAAGTTTTAGAATAACAAACCTTCACTGGCACCTCAGGGAAGAAAATGATCCCTGAAGCAAAGTCTGAAATACAAGAAAGAATAGAGGGGGAACCAAAAAAAAGGTACAACTAAGTGACATTGACTGCTTCACATAATAGTAGTGATGGCATTCAAATGAGAAGTTTAATAGGAAAGACAGTAGAATGAGTCAGACATAACTTTCCTGTGTTCATATGTGAATACATGGCCCGTGAAACTCCACATCGTGTACAGCCACAAGAATGAGATCCTAATTAGAGCAAGTTATACTCCACGTATGTATAATATGTCAAAATACACTCTACTGAAATGTATATGTAAAAAGAACGATTAAACAAGAAAAAATAAACAAATAAATAGGAAGTTTATGAGAAAAGGAATCTGTCTCCAAGGATGGGATTTATTAAAGGAAGAAAAATGAATGCAAATATTTGGAAGATTAATATGTAACATAAAAAAGAAGGATGGGATTGATTTAACCAGGCCACAATACTTACAAAGACATAACAATTTAGACAACACCATCTTGGAATAGCAATAGATAAATAAACAATGGAGTGGGAAAGAGAGTCCAGAAAGAGACACTTGATATGTGCAGAAACTTGATATTTACAGAGCAGATTAGTGGGCAAGATAGACTGTATATGAAGTGGTTTTACAGATGGCCAAAAAAAAAAAAAAAAAAAACAGAGGTGGGGTGATAGGACCATGATACAGAATGCACATAAAATTCGGTTCTAAACAGACCCAAATATGAAAAAGAAAAATTCAAAACTCCTTTTAAGACAACATGAGACGACACTTTATGCCCTTGATGCACAAAAATATTTCATTAAGACCTTAAAAGAAAAAAAAACCCACAAAACCTAAAGGAAAAGATTGAAAAATGTATCTAACTGTACATCAAAATTTGATTTTCGTCAAAGACACCATAGGGAGTTATAAAAATACAAGCCTTCTACTGGGAAAAGTTATTGGAAGATCACGCAGCTGTCAGAGACTGTCATCCAGAATTTCGAAAGGACTCCTACACATCAACAATAAAAAGTCAAACCAAGAGAAAAAGACAAAAGGCAAACTATTGAAGAAACACAAATAGTTCAGAAGCAAATTAAAATATGCCTAACGTATTAATCATCATAGAAGCAAAATGAAATCACAGTGAGAAAGCATTTCACCTCCATAAGATGGAGTTTCCATCAATAACAAAAATATCTGATAACAGCCAGAGTTGGAGAAAATGTGAGGCAAAGGAAAACAACCTGAATCTAGGAGTGAGTAGTGAGGGCAAAACTCAGCACAACTTCTCTAGAAAGAATTTTCCATTGCTTAAGTTTAACAACCCTTCCATCTCACAATAATTTTTCTTAGTAATGTACTCTATAAAGAGTATCAGGTATGTGCACATGAAATCAGAATTTTCACATCAGTATTGTTCATGTTAGTGCCAAACATAAAACAACCATAAGTAACTGTGGCAATATATGCATTGTGATACATTTGAACCGTGGAATTTCACATTATATGAGAAGAAATTACCTACAGCCAGAGGCATCAACTTGAATGAGTCTCAAAAACTGAATGTCGGACAAGAACAGCAAGTGACAGAAGAACACATCCAGTTTGATACCATTTGTATAAGATTAAAACATGGAAAACTTAATGGCACTGTTTGGTGGTGCATATGCATACTATAAAATAACTAAAAGTAAGACAAGAAAACACTACATTCATTCTATTCTGTTTCTTAAGATATCACGTCAGCACTAACATGTAAATTTAGTTGCTGGGTAAAATGTAATTCTCATTTCATAGTGTTTTCATAGTATGTATATGACTCTCAATCTTCCATCTTCATACAATCCCATGTCTAAGACTGCCTCCTCCCACATAATTACAGATAGACAACAGAATTAGAATGACATCTCCCACCCCACCTCTGCCCAGCTACATGATAGATTCACCTTCCCAGGCTTAGCATAAGCTCAGGAAGCATGCAGGGTCTCCAGGTTCCACTCCTGTGCTGAGAGGTTGCACCCTGGTGATATTCCACATACTCAGCCTCTCCTCCAGAGACTGGGAGTGACCTCTTCAAGTACTAATAATCCTGCAAAGCCTCAGTCATAGCACTCACCTTATAGCTTTGGATATTGTTTCCACGTCTGTCTTCCTAAAGTGGGCTATGTCTTCCCTTAGAGTGGATTCTTCTACAGACAGTGTCTCTCTTCCCATTTCCATCACCACCTCCGCTTTCCACCACAAGAAGATGCCTCAGCTTCCAAGTATCTCAGTCAATGTAAATAGCTGACTAATAGCACTGGTTTCACACAGTGTTCCCTTGAGCACTGCAGGAACAGCCTACAACCAGGACATCACCTTCCTTGATATCATGAATGGGGGAAAGTCAAGATTTTGATTTTTTGTATTAGATTAGAAATTTTCCAACATCCTCAACTTTACTTCAGTCTTATCATTGTATTATTTATTAATGCTTAAATAATCATTTTTCTTTTTATTCTCATTTGTGTCAATTTATAGTTCTGATAGGGTTGTAATGGCCATCCATGTCAAGTAGAGTTAACTACCAATTTGTGTCAGATGGTTGCAGAGAATATAGAAAATGCAGAAGTTACCCGCCCAAGAACAATCCCTAAGCCTCTCCCGCCATGCCTTCAAAAAGTATTAGCTATTCTCAAATTAGAAGTTTCATTTGAATATGGATGATTCATCACATCTATGCCTCTATAATCCCCTTCACCCTTCAGGGTTTCCTCTGTGGTCTGATACCAGCTTCATTTTGGCATACAACAATGAGTTAGTCTGGTTGATTTTCCAATTTATATAATGACATTTACCTCCTGAGTTGTTCCCCTTGGACAGTGGTTTCCAGACTTTTGTGTTGAGAGCCCTATTTTTGGTTTGATGTGGAGACTAGTGGCTTTCCAAAAAGTGTTGAATGCCACATAAATTTTTAAAGACAATAAAAAGGAGTTTTGAGAATCTGAGTTTAATTTATTGCTGAAGAAGAAAAGGAGGAGGAAGAGGAGGAGGGGGGGGAGGAGGAAAGGAGGAAGAGGAAGAGGGGTTGGGGGAAGGAAAGGGGGAACAGGGGGAAGAAAGAAAAGCACATGATTAAAGATAAGTGATAAAGTATAGAGAGAAGCACAAGAGTGGATTGCAAGCATGTCCCAATTAGAATGTCTCTGGCTGTTGAATCTCCCAAAATGAATACTGTTGAACCCAGCATTCTCTGCAGTTCAGAAATACAAGACCTGGCCCTACACTGACATTGTCTATTAAATGAGGGCCAAATATTCTTTTAATCACCATGTAATCCATCAATATTGCAGTCCTAATCAGACTCACAATTCAGTAATGAAAGTGAAACTCAGATCTGGTTTTCAAAAAAAAAAGATGGCTCTGCCTTCAACTACATTTTTGTGTTCTTCAAAAATTCTGAGTATGGAGGAATATCTGATGTAGCTTGCTCATTAGGGAGATATATCTGTTTACACTAGCTCTCCTCAACAAATATAGGAAGCATATTAAAAATGCAAAATGTGATCTCAGTATTTGCCTCTCACAGAAACTGTTAAATATTATCATCCATAATGCACGAGGTTGGTAACTTTTTTGCATATTTTGATTTTCTCCTTACTTCCTTTCTCAAACTCAGGAAATTAGTTTGGCAAACCGAAATTTATCAAAGCCTTCAGGAGACAATTTCTTCATGGTCTTTGAGTCAATGCCCTAATCAGCATCAAATAAACAAGAGAAAGTGAAAAGCGTTTGGTGAACATGATTAGTCTGAGTCTCCTTTCCCCTTAAATAACCTCTGTCAAACCCCAGATAGTTAACCACTTCCCATTCCACTTCACTTTGTTAATTAGTTTGAATTACTTTGTATAATTATAAATTAATTCTTTTTCCTTTTTTGAACATTGGGAAAATAAAAGATATTAAAGAAAATTTTTAACATCTGAATATCTCATTTCCCAGAGATAAATAAATTTTGAGTTTTCTCGCTCTGTTGTATTTTGTTTTGCTTATTTTTTTCAAAACAAAATTTGAGCTCTTTAATATTACATTGCCACAAAATTACTTTGAGATGTACAATGTTGATTTGTTTTTTGTTTTTGTTTTCTTTTCTTCTCTTTTTTTTTGGTGTGTGTGTGTGTGTGTGTGTGTGTGTG